ATGGAAATTCCATCATTCAAAAGGAAATATTTCAGGGAGTAAAAAACATATGCTCTAGGACTCAAATACTTCGTAAATAAGCCAAGAATGGGGGATAGACATTATCTGTAGTGTTTTCTAGACGCATTTTAATGCTTAATATTTTGCTTTGTAGTCAACCAACCAACAAAATTGGCTGGAGGGCCAATATTGCAAACCAGTGCCCAGTGCACTGACACAATAAAACCTTTGACAACCTTCACAGTCGCTGGTAGATCTGAGCAGCAAGTTTGTAATGATAACATTAGGTATGGGTGATACGCAAAAGTTTCCTAAATCAGATTAAGGCTCACATTTTATCAGCCAGGAAGGAGGAAGGTAGAGAAACCACCTAGGTTTCTGAAGAAATATTCAGGTTCAGATACACAATGTTCAGTAACCATTCAGTAAATAGGCAAATAGGCAGGAAAAAAGTTCAGGAGCAGGAAGGCCATGCTTAAAATTGTAAGATCTGTATCTTAATCAGAACAGGTAGTACAGTTTTATGATATAGATTCACTACATTTTCTCCCGAATACCTGTTTTACGCAGTTATGCTGCATGCAAGCAAATTGCTCCTAGCAATATCAGCCTACTCCAACCAGATTTCAAATAGAAGCATTAAATATAGCTTTTAAAAAATATGTATATTTCCTTAAATTGACCACTGGAAGAAGTGAGAAATCCTCTAAGAACCTTCCTGAAAGAGAGGAGTGCAGTGTGCCCTCATATCTGATTAAATATAATAAGATCCATGTGGGAGTGAGACTTTCTATATAATCCAGAGGGGGAACCAACTCTAGTCACAACTCATACCCTTACCATCACAAAAACCAGGACAGCATAACACAGCAGCCACTAAGTTCCCTTAGTTCTGGTGCTCAGCCAATAACTGAAGGAGATTTTGTCTTGTTATATTGAGGTTAAATTATGATTTAAATTCCTGGTAATCTTTTCCCAAGCATCTAGTGATAGGATGTGATAGGAAACAGCTTCAAGTTGCACCAGGAGAGGTTTAGATGGAATATTAGGGAGGATTTCTTCATGAATACAGTGGTCAAGAATTGGCATGGGCTGCCCAGGGACTGGTGGAGTCCCCCCATTGCTGGAGGTATCCAGGAGATGTATAGTTCTGTGAATGTGGTAGGTCAGACTGATAAGTCTTTTCCACACTCTATAATTCTATAACTCTATAATGAAAGCTTACCACCAAAAGTGGTGCCTTATTCCCCACTTCTTTTTTTCCCTGTTTCAATCATTGTCTAGATGGCCTATATAGATCCTATGTGGAAAGCGAGACACAGCCTTAAAGGCAGAAATTGTATGGACTTAAACATCAGGAGTTTTTAAAAAAAAAAAAAATAAATAAATAAAAAAACAACACTTATCTAACCTGAACTCTGCAGCTGAAAAGTACTTCTAGTACTTAACTTAAATATATAATTTTTCACAAAATTGAAAGACAAAAAGAAGTAAAATGAACACATTCAGAGGAAAAAGCAGCATCGAGTGTCTGGCCGTATCTGTTAACCTTTTAATGTCTGAGTTTTGCTGAAGCTTAAATACCTAATTTGTTCAACAGAGAATTCTCACCCATTATTTTTCACATGAAGCAGAGAATTTTAACATCTCTAAGTGCCTTCCTGCCTTCTCACAATCCAAAATGAATGCAAAGATAACTGCTGAATCTTTCTGAGTAGAAAAGGCCAAACTTGTGACTTCTGTAGTTTTTTTTTCCATTTTTAAGAGGTTAGGAAGGAACACTGGAAAGGAAATAAGCTGGTTAATTGTGCTCTAGTCTCTCTGTAAAGACACCATTTTTTTGTTATTAGTTTGTTGGTTTCCTTTCTGGTCTTTTATTGTATTTGTTGTTGTTTTCCTGTTGTGAAACTGCTGCCTATAAGAGAGGTAGGTTCAGAGACATAATGGCCGTATAGGCTGAGGTGAAACCAGATGGCCCATTTTCCCCTCTCTCCAGCTCTCTAATGCATCTCCTTTCTGAAGTCAGCTAGGGCTCTCATAGGAACTCTCCAGTAGCTAATTTAGCTCCCAGAAATGAAAAAAAAAAAAAAACAACCCAACACTAGCACTACTAGGGAAAAAAAAAAAAAAAAAAAAAAAAAAAAAGAGGGAGCACTCTGCCACTGACTTACATCGACTCAGTGAAGAGTTTGATGCAGTCTGTCAAAAAGAGATTGGAAGAAGACAAGGAAATGAGGAAGACAGATGTGAGGAAGATGAATGAGAGCAGCAGAGAGTGGCAACCTTGGCTCGGCTGCCTATGGCAGTCCAGACATAGGCCAGAGAAACTTTCTTGTGCTGTTATGCTGGGAAGGTGATTGCATTACAATCACCTTGATTACAAGAAGTTCCATTTTTTTCTAGTAAATGGACAATACCATGGAGTGGGATGTAAGTGGAGTTTAGACAGCTTGAATTTGAGGATCTTTGCATCAAATGTACCATCTCTTGGAAAGTGCCAGCTACACAGAGAACAAGTAACTCCTCCTTAGGATGAAGGTGGAAACTGGGAATTCCAGAAGGATGGAGTCTCTCTCTCTCTTTTTTTTTTTTTTTTTTTTTTTTTTTAATTTCATCCCTAAAATACCAAAACACTGCTCAGCAATCACTACAGATTTTTGAGCTTTCAAATTTAAAATGTAGCCCTTTTTTGTCACAAGAAAAGCCTGCAAAGTAAGACCAATAATGAAATAAAGTAGTGTCCACGTATGTGTGCTAATGGATGGAAAAATGCTTATAAAGATGTTATTTCCTGATAATTTTCAGTAGAATATTTGAATACTCAATTTTTTATACAAATACTTAAATCTGCCTCTGATCATTAGCAGCCAGATGATCCTTTCATTACACACATTCAGATTATGATAGACAGATGCTAAAATGATAACTACCCCTAAGCAAGTACACAACTGCCTTCTTCCATAAGAATTATGCTTTCTAATACAAAACTGTGCAGTCACTTCAAGGTTAAAAATGTAAGGCCATCAAAACAGCCATTTAATCAACTACTAAATTAAATCTCAGAAAAGACTCAACTGTTCTGACTGTTGCCATTATCACATTTAAATATGGAAAATGCCTATTCTGATTTTGAATCTCTGCAAAATGGCTACTCTCCAAGGGTATTTCTGAATAATCTATATAAAAGAATTTGCACATCTAATGTCCGTGGCTCCTAAAAGATTGCAGGCAGCTATTTAAGTAGAACCTGTGAGCTCTGAAACAAACTTTTAACTGAAATGCAAGACTGCTATCCTGAAAGCTTTGGCATTTTTTAATATTCCTTTTCATCTTGTGTGTAAGGGAATTTCAGCAAGTTTAATCAGTTTAACAAGTAAATTGTATAGCTATTTATCTGCATTTGTTGGGATGAGGTTAAATTACTTCTAGAGAAAAATTGCTTTTTTTTTTCCTGATTTTTGTTTTCATAAACAAAATCACAGCATGTGGACAAAATAATCTTTTGAAACAAAAGCTGCTGATGTAAGCGAAGCGGCAGCATTTTTTCCTCTCTTCCCTTTCCCAGTAAGAAACATTTGCAACAGCAAATGCTCAGATTCTGGCTCCAAGGGGAAGCTCAGTACCCAGACTTATTCTCCTAGACACTCAATGCCTGTGTCACATGGGCCATCTTGTCCATGTAGAGGCATGGAATCAAATTGGCTAAAGCTTACCAGTGCAAAATACTGGAAAAAGAAATTCTGAAGCCTTATACCTCTGCATAGCCTAAATGCTTGAGCCAGGTCTACATAGAATGTTTCTTGATCTCTGTTGAATACATGTAGAGAAGTCAACTACAGAGCATCAGGTTGGCATGAGCTCAAGTGACTCAGTTTGGCAATGTATGTTAATGTACTCTATTAACCCCCAAAGTAGGAGACCCGTTTCTGAAAAACACAGCTCTTCTTCTGTGCCTAGGTGAGGTTCACAGCCAGTATGGAGGTGTCCTGAAGATGTTTGTCTGCTTCATTAATAGCAGGTTGGCATAGTGCTATTTGCACTATGAAAAGAAAAACGTGGTAATTCGTAGTTCTTTGGCAAATGCTCTTATTCCATACCATTTTGCAGAAGTGAGATAGCAAAGTGGCCTTTGCTTCCCTGAATGACATTTTCCGAATACGGTAATTTATCAGTACTTTTCAGTGTATAGTTGTCACATGTGTCTACAAGAGAAGGTCTAGCAGGCACGCTCAGAGCACATTTCTGGCTTCCAGAACCTGAATATATTTTGCCTTTAGCTAGTCATCTCCTCATGCTATAGTAGTTCTGTGTACAGACAGAATTAAAATAGCAGATGAGTAGAAAGCCACAGGTGGGACAAATCACACATATTAGTTGAGGAAGCTAGCAGATAATTTTGTGGGACAAATGACCTACAGGAGATGCCTTCTGTCCTTCAGCTCTAGGGGAAAATTTGAATTATCATCTTATCCAAGATGCTTAACTTTGAGATACATATACAGATAAAATAAAATCACATTTTACTCTCCCAGCCTTCAAGATATGCATTTTAAATACATGATTAAAAGGTATAAAATGCCCCTTAGAACTATAGGGCAAGTACTTAAGTGGTTAGTTAGACAAATTTTTGAGGTATTCAACATAGCAGAGCAATTAAGGATGTGCATAGATACATTTTAACAGACATTACTTGTTCTCTGCTAGATCATAACCACAGCAGTGAAAATGATCATTTATTCTTGTCTCCAGCTGTGGGGAAATCACAGCTGAGCCTTTCCTGACTTCACAAAACCAAGTAGACCCTGACTAAAAGCACAATGGAGACCACATTCCTTCCCAGTTCCTTCATCTCTGATATTTTCTATTGCTAACATACTCATAAAAAAAGAAGCCAATCAAATTTGCTATATACTTTACAACTTAAAATCCTTTTAATATACCATGAGTCAACCTTCATGTATGAATTTTCTTACGTTTTTGAAACTGTCTTGAAAACTTACCCATGTAGGGCTTTGTGCCAGCCATAGATGAAGCCTTTTCTGAGCCTTTTACTATGGTTGCAATGTTAAAGTCAGTGATATGAACATGTCCTGCAATTATACAAAGTAAAAACAGAAGTCAAAATCTTATAAACATTCCTTGCTTTATTCAGTGTATAAATCTGAACAATTTAATGTCTTATAATTTACTATTAATCACAGCTCATAGCTTTAAAAAAAAAAAAAAAAAAAAGTAATGACAGCAAAAAAAAAAAAAAAAAAAAAAGCTTTTTTTCCCCCTGCATGGTTGTATCTATTATTTGTTTGCACACTGAACCTCACTTCTGACCGTCCCTGAACCTCCTCCTTCTGTGAGAACCAAGGACAGCAATTGTCTTTTTGGAGCAGTAATGCACAGAACAGTGCTGAATTTCTTGGAGTGATGTGTGAACTCTACCTCACCTTTTCTCTAACTAGAGCCATCCCTCACAATCTCCTGCACTCATGACACCTGTCTGCCATCACATCCACTTTGTGTTACAATCAGCCTGGCTTTTTCAGGGTGTCCTTGGGGCAAAAAGGGAGCTGAGAAGAAAAAGGGTATTTTAAAAATACAATAACTACAAAATTAGATTCATGGTAGCAGAGGAGCATTTGTGTAACAGCAGCAGGTCCCAGACAATCCTTCCTTTGACAGCAGATTACAAGATGAAAGATATTCAACACAATACAGACCATGGACTTGCTGCCTGACCGAGACTGCTGATTTAAACTCAGCTAATCAGGTTGGATGGCCTAAACATGCCATCATTACTTTTTCCCCTAGGGTGATTTATGGCAAGCACAGGGTAAATTGCTCCACCATTGCAAGGCAATAGTTGCTAATTCTCATCTGCCTTAGGCAAGTAAACTGAATGCAAATTCAGAATGAAAATGTATCTATCTGCACAATTTTGTCTGCATAAATCTGCTGGTATGTTTTGCATCTCCTACTTAGGGGCTAGTTCCTGCTGTGGACGCTTTGCCTATGATTCCACCTGGCAATGCCACTGTGGAGGACATGGATAGGTGCTCCCTTCCCCAGCTTAGCAGCACACTCAAATCATAGCTGAGACATCTTGCCTTTAGGTGGAGTCCTGAACGTTGAGTTCCTCTGATACTTTCCCCTCCTCTTTTTTAAAATCAGGATCTCAAACTCATTCAGTCCACAGCGTGGAGCAGGCTTTGGGCATGAAGCAGTTATTGAGTGAAGGAAGCTGTTACCATGTTTACCGTCAAAGATGAAAAGAACGTAAAAGTTGATTTGCCTGTGGTCCTGACACTGAACATTTCCCCAGTGCCAGACTGAGGAACAGCAGTCTCAATGAATGATTACACTGCTTTGACAATCTGACCTAGATCCTACTCATAGTCTCCAGGAAATGTACCTGCCAGCCTCAAAAAATATTCAGCCATATGTGAACTGAAATTCTCAGAGTCCCCTCATTTGGCCAGACCTAGGTTGCTTTTGAAAGTAAAATGGAAGAAGGCACATCTCATTTCCAACACTTAAACATATTTTTTTTCAAATGGGTTACATAGCAGAAGTTTTTGATTAAGTGCTTTACACATTTTTTAGTCTTCACAAGAACTCCTTCTGTTGTGGTGATGCTTCCTCCTAAGACACCCTGCCCAAAAAAACATGAGCAAAAGGTAAACAAAAGCATTGAGCAGAGCAAGTAATTCCTTCATAGAGGGTGGAAGGTGTTGCTTCCCATAAAAGCAGTCAGAGAGCACAGCCTGTCTTACCACCAGTTTCCAAGATGGCATTCCTCCCTCATGCTGGCTGCAGCTCATGGCTGGTGAGGAGAACTGCAGTTCATTTCTGCAGTAGAACATGATGGCAGAATGCTTATTGAGAAGGACAATTGAACCACACACAGGCACTCCATGGCATTGATGCTTTAATTCCATGCGCACTGTAGAATGAAAAGCTGCAACAATCTTGAAAACTAAGAATTTTTTTTTTATAAAGTTGCGTCATTTAAATGACACTACTGTAAATGATTCTCCCTATTAGAGTGCCAGCATGATAGCCTGTTGCAAAACACCTATCACATAATATTCCATTCAAACTGATCCAAACAGTTGATTTGTAATGAAAATTGCCTCTCCTGCAGTGCATTGTTTTCTCTCCCTTTTATTAGATTTCTTTTCATTTAACAAAACCAAAGTAGCACATATGTGAAGGGTTATAAATGTTAGTTGGTGTGTTTTGTTAAAAATGCCTCTCTGTAAGGGAAGTAGATAGGCTTGAGAGCTCTGCATGCTGCTGGTGATAAAGTAGTAATGCTTTGCTCCCATGGTCACAGCACCACACAGCAAAACCACATCTGTATCTCTGGAAAAAAGAACACCTTTGTTCTTCTACAGCCTCTGGGGTGCCTGAACACAGATTTTGCTTGATGCTTAGGGGGCTGGTAGTTTGCCATGGAGGACAGGAAAGGTGTCCTCTGGGCAGGTGGTGGTTGTGCTGCCATAAGGACTGCAAATAGACCCCAGTTTGTTATGAGCCTTTCTAATCAGTCTCTATGACATTTTTATGGCTGCAGATGCATGTAGTCACATGCGTTATAGAATTGTAGGGGATGAAAGGACCTCTAGAGAGTAGTCCAACCACCCTGCCAGAGCAGATCCTAGACCAGGTGGGCACCCAGGTGAGTTTTGAACATCTCCAGAGCAGCAGACTCCACAGCCTCACTGGGCAACCTGTTCCAGCATTCTGTCACCCTTACTGTGAAGAAGTTCTTAAACGCATTTGTGCAAAATTTCCTGTGCTTCAATTTGTGGCCATTTCCCCTTGTCCTATTGCCACCCACTGCTGAGAAGAGTCTGACCTCGTCCCTTTGCCACCTGCACCTTAGGTATTTATGGACACTGATCAGATGCCCCCTGAATCTTCTTTTCTCAAGGCTGAATAGACCCAGGTTGCTCAGCCTGGGTCTATAGGAGAGATCATCTTTGTGGCCCTCCATTGGACTCTTTCCAGCAGATCCTTGTCTTTTTTGTACCAGGGAGCCCAGAACCAGACACAGTACTCAAGGTGAGGCCTCACCAGGACAGAGTAGAGGGAGGGATGAAAGATAACTATTTCTGCAGTAAAAATACAACAGTTCTGGCTATTTTAATCTATTTCCAAAATTTCAGTTCACAGGGACATTTTACCTTCTGAGCTTCACGCCTTGTACTTTATCTCTCTTTCCGGATTTTATCTAGAAAAACTGACCATCAAGCTCAAGTCCTTCTCAGGTACCAAGTACGGTACTGGACTGAACAGTATGTCAGCACCACCTGGATTTGGCTATTAAGAGCTGCGAAGCAGGGCAATGCACAGCAGATTCAACAGAACCTAAATAAATTCAAGTATCACAACAGAAGAGTTCTTTGCTTAATGTCCTAGGATGCGTGACTCCATCTGATAATGAGAGCATAGCAGATAGTGGAGGAGGCAAATGCATACATTTCTCCAGCTCTCTGCAAATGGTTATTTCAAGTCTGATTGCACCAGTTTCAGCTAAGTATACACGTATATTTCATAGAAATATAAAGGCTGAAAAAGATCACTAAGATCATCTAGTCCAACCATCAACCCATCACCACCATGCCCACTAGACTATGTCCTTTAGTGCCATAACTACTCTTAATCTTAAGTAGAAAGAATCTCAATGACAATTATTTCAAGAACTGCATTCCTCTAGTGTGCTGCCAAGTAAGGCAAATCTGTAAGTTAGTTTCTACAGACAGTATATGACCCTTTAAAGCTTTGTGTGCATCTCAGAAAGAATGCATGAGGTATAAACATATGGGGCACGTGTACATCAGTTTATCACATATCCACCAAATACCTAAGGCATAAAACAAATAATCTTTGACTATAACTGATTTTTTTTTTTTTTTTTGCTAAATGAGAATAGATCATAATTGTAATTAAAACAAGTTCTGATAGGTGGCTGAGGCTGGCTGACTAAAGAGTTTCAATGAGTTTTAATACTCTAGGGTATGAAAGTGAAGGGGTGAATCTGAGGACAGAAAGAAAAAAATATCAGTCTGGAGTTAATGCCACCAGCTCAGAATGCATCAGAGCTGATAAGAAATCTCTGCATAGTAATATTTTGGATCAAATTCAGATCTACTTTGCCCAGAAGGTCAAACTCTATGAACTATTTAAAAACCAGTTCTTCACATTCATCTATATTGAGTACAAGAGTGTCATCTTGCATCCAGATGAACTTTGCATGCCTTGGCAGCTGGACACTCATCATCAGGAGATTGCTAGAAGCCTGATGGTCCTGCTTAAGGTGTGTTCAGGAGTCAGCATTCAAGGCTTAAACTATTGAATTTATGGGTGGTGATTTTTATTCATCCTATTTTTAGTTTTAAGACCAAGATTGCTCATTGTCTACATTTTTCAAACTTGATGTTAATTTCCAAATGAGAGTTGAGAGTATCACATAAACAAGGAAATAGACTTTTAAGGAAAGATTTGATGATCATAAAATAATATAGTCGTATATAAAAAGGCAAATAACACACCAACTTGAATCTACCTTTCTCCCTCCTAAGAGAAATGATTATTGAGTAAAATTATTACTGATAGAAGCAATAAACCAGTCAATTATAAAAGCTTTTAAAGGAGTTTTGGGATGTCATAAAAATGAGGAATAAAGTGAATGCAAGCAGCATGTTTCAAAACAAATGAAAGAAAACACTTTTATAAAAGATGGTGAACTGGTAGAACTTGTTTCTCCATGTGGTTGTAAAGGCCAGTTTTGGCAGCAGCTTCAAAGAAGTAGAAGTAGAATTCATTAACAAAGACCCATCCAGATTTTAATGGGAATATACAAAGCTTTACTAACATCCTAATATAAAAATTGCAGGTGATAAGGATCACCGAAGCATCTGATGACTAGAATTGGCAGCGGACGCTGTCTGAGGAGATGATCTTTTGACTGTGATAGAATACTGGCTGGGATCCCGTGTATGATCCTGAGGCGAATTCTTTGAATCATAGAATCATTAGAGTTGTAAAAGACCACTAAGATGATCTAGTCCAATCATCAACCCAGTCTTCCTTGGGAAAGGAAATGCAGAATGCCATGCAGAAACCTTGCTGTATCTTGTTTCAAGACATCATTTCACACTTGCCTGACAGGAAATCAAACCCTTGCAAATTCTTGGAAACAGTATAGTAACAGTCTGGTTGCTCTGCACTACACAAAATCTGGATGTCAAAAGGGGAGCATCATGATTTCTGCAGAATGATCTGAAGTGCTAATAATGCTGTTAAGTAGCTATAGAAAGAACAAGTTATCATCTCTGAAAAAAAAAAAAAAAAAAAAACCCAATATCCTAATATGATTAATACTCTTTGTTTTTCTATATTTCAGACATTATATGTATCCTCAGATGCAACAACTAATAGATCATGGAAATATTTAAAGGGATCATTAATTTCTTTGACATTTTGACATTTCAGGAAAAATGCAACATAGACCAGACTTGTCAATCTTTAGTCCTAAACACTGTCATTTCAGATATATGGATTTAAGCCATTAAAGTGAAAAGAGTGGAGGAGGGAACAGAATACCGTTATCAGGAGATTTCTGTAGTTCTTTTCTCTGTATAATAAAATAATAGTAGCTGCCATGAACCACAAAGCAGTTTTTTCAGTTGTTACTGGAGTATCTATTTGAGGCACATGCTAGAAGAAGAGAACTCTACTGCTAAATTTAGAGGTTATTGATAGTTATAAGCCTTCTGGGAGAGAAGAAAACACAACAGAAGAGATTTGTGTTTGTTTACTTAGTTCAGTTTAGAGTTTGAACCAAAAAAACGGGACACCATTGTTCCTGCTGCAGCACCCTGAAAATGTTTCTAATCTCTCCCATCACGAAAGAGTGAATATCTCAAGGACATCTGACAATCATCTTCTGCTAGAGGCTTAAATATTATCTTAATTATCTGTTTTCACAGTTCTTGTATAGTATGACACTTCTTGTGATGTCCAAACTCATCCACTACTACATCAGAACTTCAGCAGAACACTAAGTTCCTACACTACAGGAAGTGAGGATTTGTTCAAATGCAACAGCCATAGGAACAGAAACAGATTAGAGAAGCTGCTTACCTTACGCACACATATATTGAACAATTACTTGTTTATTTTTGCTAAGTGAAAGTTGATGGTTCCTCAAAAAAATTGTGTTACTGTGAAGTGTCTATATAATCAATGAATGTACAGATGTTATAATTACAAAACATACCAGAGAGTTTGGCTAAGCAGTTATTATACCAAAAGAGAATAGATAGAATGCTTACCCATATCCTCTACTCCCTATGAAACTCCAAAGGAGCAATCTCCAGAAGACATCCTTCCTTGCTGCTAGTCAGCTCTTAAATGGGTTCTAGAAGATGTGGAGCCTGCCTCCACCTCTTCTGACAGCATAGGTGAATTGCTTTCACCTGTGCTCCCAGGGCTGACTCATTGCTCACCTCAGGTGATCTATCAGAGGTTCAGGCCATGATTCAGCAGTTCCCATACAGTGTCGCATCTTAATTGAAGCTTTTTTAGGGCTTTTGGATAGGATTCATGTGTCTAAATGCAAAATTTGGTTTTCTATATCTTTACACAAAACTTCCTCTGTATTATTCACTGAAGAGAAATAGATATTAATGCTTAAGTGCAGACAACCAAAATGGATCAGATGATCTAAATGAGTCTGTATCTATAAAGAAACGATGATGACCAGCATGATACAGACACTACTACTACATCGTCATCTCATTTAGTGAGTACAGGGTCTCTTGCCCAGACTGGAAGAACTACAGCACCCAGACACAGCAGGTCTGTGAGCTGATTAATTCTGCTCACCAAGGTCTACCTTGGTAAAGACTGGTGAAGCACCATGCTGCTTTGCAGAGCAGGGGCTATTCATCCCAATATTTCCAAGCTGGCACTAGCTAATTTTGTTGCTGAATATTTTGTAGTCACCAAAATGTAATTCTGCAACATACTGCTGGCTCTTGCATAGCTCATCTACACTACATTGGATCCCATAGGAAAGCACTTCCAAGAGGCTGATTTTGTGTTGTAACTGACCTTGCTGAGGAGCAAGGAGAGATAAGCGTAACTACTTCAAAGGCTGTCAATCAGAGATTTAACACTCATAGTCATTTCATGTTGCCTTTCCATCTTTAATTCACACAAGACTTAAAGACAAGATATTTCTATTTCATGCTTATTTGCTGATATTAGTGTCTAGGGAAAATTAACACGTGTGAGTCTGAAACACTAAATTCCTGAAGTCCTAGATGGTTTAAGACTGAAATATCATTAAGTTTTATTGGCGTCAGTATTCCCAGAGGTAAATTCCAGCTGTCTTAAATGTTACTTCTTTAATCAACTTTAACATGCTGACCCAGCAGCTCTACAACAGATTTTGAAAAATAATTGTATCTTTGGCATCATTTCAAATCTGTATTTTTTTCAGAGATTAACTGGTCTTAGTCGATTTCTGAAGTGTATAAAGCAAAACAAGTCTTTCCCAGCAGCAAACACATGTTAATTTCCATTCTGTCTGTCTTGTACTTCTGTTCTAATTAATACAAGGTCAAAACTAGCTTTTATTATATTTTCTCGTATCCTTGCTATAAATGGCTGCAAAAAGATGCATTTCATTTTAGCAAAATACTTCATATATTCTCTGCATCTGTATGGTTCTCATAAAAAAAAAGTCAGAATTTTTATTCACTCAGCACATTTTTTGCTTGAGATCATGGAAATAGTCTTGAAAATTCAAAGCTGATTATGTTGTTAGACATTTTTAAGTATTTTTTGAGCCAGAACTATATGTAGAACCATGAAAATTTTACAGGCATTTTAGAGGCAAATTTCAGATTTCGCATCTAAATTTAGGAAAATAATTTCAGATGAACAATATTTTGCTATTTGAAATTTCCTAATCCTTCATGATTTCAGTACAGAAAATAGATGCTTGGTACTGCTGTATTGGAAGGTCCCTAAAGAGCGATTATCATTGAATCACAGAATCATAGTATGTCACAAGGTTGGAAATGACCTGTAAGATCATCTAGTCCAACTGTCTTCTCATTACCACTGCTACCACAAGTACTAACCCACATCTCGCAGCTCCTCATCCAGACGCCTCTTGAACACTGCCAGGGACGGCGACTCCACCACCTCCCGGGGCAGCCATTCCAGTTCCTGACCACTCTGAGAGAAAAAGTTTTTCCTCATGTCCAACCTAAACCTCCTCTGATACAACTTGCAGCCATTTCCCTGGGTCCTGTTCGTTGCATGGGAGAAGAGGCCAAATCCCTCTTCACCACATCTCCCTTCAGGAAGTTGTACAGTGCAATGAGGTCTCCCCTGAGCCTCCTCTTCTCCAGACTGAACAATCCCAGCTCCCTCAGCCGCTCCTCATAAGACTTGTGCTCCAGACCCCTCACCAGTTTTGTTGCCCTTCTCTGGACATGTTCCAGGGCCTCAACATCTTTCCTGTAGTGAGGGGCTCAAAACTGAACACAGTACTCGAGGTGTGGCCTCACCAGTGCTGAGTAGAGGGGGATGATCACCTCCCTGCTCCTGCTGGCCACGCTATTTCTAATGCAGGCCAGGATGCCATTGGCCCTCTTGGCCACCTGGGCACACTGTTGGCTCATGTTCGGCTGAGCATCAACCAACACCCCCAGGTCCTTCTCTTCTTCACACTCGTCCAGCCACTCATCCCCAAGCCTATAATGCTGCGTGGAGTTGTTGTGCCCAAAGTGCAGGACCCGACACTTGGCCTTGTTGAATTTCATCACATTCATATCAGCCCAGTGATCCAGCTTATCTAAATCCCTCTGAAGGGTCTCCCTACCCTCAGTGACTTACAGTAATCATGTTATTAAAATATTAACTTATTTTTGATTGGTGTCCCTGGTGATCCTCATTCCTATTAATTCTTTCATGTTCAATTCAGATCAGCTTTTTTTTTTTTTTTCCATAGGAATGAATACTGCAAAACTGCCAATTGGACAGGGGGATGTGCAGAATGTCCAGATTTCAACTGGAATCCTGCAGCTCAAGCTGACTTAAAAACCATGATCCACCATATCACAGACAGCTCACAAATTAGAGGCATCTCGGAGAATGCAGTCAATATTTACTCACCATGCTCATCCAGTAATATGTTGTCAGGTTTGATATCCCTGTAAAATAAGAAAATGCATGCATTATAATTCATAGCAAAAAAAAATGTGCAATTTAAAAATGTTTTCCATATGTTTGCAGGGGCCAAGTAACTTAAATTAGAGCAATGAAAATCATATCATATACAAAGGTAAATGATTTTTATCTACATTATTTACTGCCTTGAAAGCATGCATACTAAAGATGTTGCCTAGGTTTCTATTTCATGTGTTTTTGTTTTCATATGGTTAGCATTGACAAAGATTTGGCTTTCAAGATGTATTTTACTCTTTAAAGTAGTGGGAACAACAAAATGGAAGATTCGCATCCTGGACGTGCCTGATTGCCTCCGGGACTCTGCATGTGACAAACACAAGAAATCAGTTAACTGGGAACATCACTGATCTACCCTTTCTGCCAGACTTACTAAACTGCCATGCTCATATGCATGAATCACTCACTCTCTAGCAGGAGAGTCCTGCTAGATCTTATACTACCCAAGCAGGTCTAGCAGCTCCCTTTTTAGCACTTGAATCTACACGTGTCTGCTTGTAATGGTAAATAGCAGGCTTGGAAAAGGGGTGGTGCTGAGGAAATGTGGGATGTGATGTATCAAAACATCAGCTCAACTCTGATGTTCTTGGCACAAAGAAAAGACACTGGTTAGAGAGCCATGCTTGTCTTTTTAAGTTGACCTTTACTCTGCTGTCAAGAACAATGGAGACAACTTTTCTTCACCACTGCTGGACAGTGCCTTCACACTGGCAGCTCACACCTAACACAATTTTGAAGCAGTATTGCATTTCCTGAAGAGGAGATACATTGATCTGCCTTGTGCAAAATATTTGCCTCTTGGGCTAAATTCTTCACAGATCTCAGAAGAGAAGGCATTGAAAAATGTATTCCAAAGATCTGTGTATTTTAATGCAGCCAAAGGATGACTTGATTATTCTGATTTAAACATTTCACTATAAATCCTGTCTGAAATATGTACTTACACATATTTAGGTTTCACTAACAAATTTTACCTAGTTTTCCCATGAATGGAATAAAGAGAAGAATGAAGTGTTGCAAAAGGATAATATTGCATCAGAAGTTTTTTTTTTTTTTACTATAATGTAGAATGATTTCTGAAGGAAATGTCAGGAATAAGATAGCAATAGCATCTGTATACATTATGTATGAAGTGACTTCGATATCTTTGTTGACAAAAGTCAACTTGCAGCCTAATACTATGAATTCCAAACTTTTTAGCTTTTCCTGAGAATCATATGAAAATATGAAGTACACGAAGATTATATTTACAGTTTGTGAAGCAAAAGCTGGGAAACAGAATAAATAAAGAATTGTTTTGAATCACGTTCTGCATAATATTGTAGGATGTGTGTGTGCATAAGGAAAATGATCTCACTATGCGTTACCATCTGGAATGGAAATTTATACTAATATTTCAGTGTGAACACCTGCTTTTCTTCTGTATAACTTACAGGCTATCTATAGTGGTCTGATTCAGGAGAAAGTTTGATATATACTTGTAATATAAAGAGAAGATCTCTCCTAGAATCCATGTCAACCACAAATCTTTGATTTCTAACTTGTTTCTTTCCTCTTCCTCACACTCTCTTGGCACATAGCTTACTATGATTACTTACAAGAAACTCTCCTTCCTCTGATTTCACATGGCTGACGTTATGAGATACAGATGAACTGTAGGTTTGAATGCCTTTTTTATAAGACTTATCTTTGGTCAAATTAGCATAGGAAATGTTATACATTTTTATATGTAGTTTTATACGTTATCTCTCAGCTAATGAGACAGTTTTCAGAAAAGCTACTTCTCATCTGATATCAAATATATTTGCTAGTAACGAGCTGATCTCTAATTACTGACAACTGTTTCCCAATAAGAGATTGAACTGTGATTTCAACAACTTTGTATCTGGCCCATGACTATAAAGTACACTATGATTTTCAGTGGAAATGTACTTGCAATTATGACTAATAACTATTGAATTAAATATTTAAAACTTTGTCTTTACAAGACTTAACAAGCATAATATGACTCTGCACTTCTCATATGGGTGAAAAATTGGAGTCACAGTCATACCCATGAGTGCCATTCTGTGGCTTGTTAATATCAGTGATAAATTCAGTCTTCATACTATTTTCAACAAACTGAGGAAAAAACCCCAACTCTTAGAATTGGAATGATAAAATTTTGAGTACTTCCCTGAGAATAAAACTGAGAGAAAGGAAATATTTGACTTTATGAGCTACTGTCAAGTCTATAGCAATGTGTCTCCCAGGGATTGCTTATTACAATAAGTCCATGCCTTTTCTCTTTTTTTTTTTTTTTTTAAGAAGATGATTTTAAACAATATGAATATCTATTATTGTTTTGCACTATTACATAGACTGTGTATTTTTATTGTCACCAGAAAAGATACTGACAAATCCACTAGTCAACCGCATATAGTGTCAAATATATCTTACATGCAGTTGTATCTGCAATGTTCAGTAAGCTGAGCAATAAAAATTATACCTCTGCTTGTCTTTCTGTGACTAATGCAAGCAGTGGCTTATACTTGATACTGATTCTTACCTGAGGGATCTTTTCCATCACTGTCTTTGCTCATTTTCTCTGAGGCAGGACCGCAGCTGGGGGCAGGGTGTATCAGCTTGCAGAGGTAACTTAATAGATTCATCTGTACCTGACGCAACTTGATAGATTCATCACCATGTCTCCAATCTCATATTTTTAAACTGACTTTACAGCAAGTAAATGTCATGGGCTAACCTAAACAAAAAGGGGAACAAGTTTCCTATGTGTATTTTTCCCCTTGAGCATAAGATACTACTGTTTTCAGATCACATGCCCGGAGTTGTCTATATGTGATATATGAGATATATGAGAAAATAAAGCACAAATTAACAGTAAAAAGTGTGCTTTCCAGTAGCAGTCTATTATGTACTTATTCCCAGTCTACAGCATGGAACTCGAAGATCACCCCACTGGAGGCACCTTGTTGAAAGCTTTACAGACTGGAGAGGGATGAGCTCACAGTCATGTCTTTGCACCTTTAATACATTTGGCTTCAACAGAGTCAGTGTGAAGACTTGGAAAGTGTAGGAGCATTGCAGTTATAGTTAGAGGATATGTTCAGAATGGAAGGCTTGTGGTGTTCACCAAAAGGCAGCTAGTTCCTTTGAATAAATGCTCTGGTTAAATTCGTTTATATAGTGAAAATGCTGTTTCTGTAGAGATATGGATTTAAAAGATAATAACTCTTTAGTTAAGCTGTTAAATTCAGAAATGTTAAATAAATGAAATTCTGTTTTGACTACACATCATCAGAAAAAGTTTTTCCTTTTAGCAAACTTGTTCAAATGGGGAAAAGAAGGATGTGAAATTCAGTTCCTTAACTTCAGGGTTTTCCTGTTGTTTATACTCCTAGCTGATATAATGAACTGAAATACTCATTTCATAATCCCAGTATATTGAACTAGCTCATTAGAAAATTCTAAAGACTTTTGCAGACAGCAAACTTACTCGTGTCCAGACTCAGAAAAGCCCTGGGCTACCTTCAAACCCATTCACCAGCAACAGAGTTGTCTATAACTAATTTCTAAACCTTGACTTTCTCATTCTGTGCTGGTGCTACTCCAGGTCTTCTTTTTATACACAGAAAAAATATAGAAATGGAAGCAGAAAAACCTTCAAAGTCTTCACTCACTGACAGGACAAGGTTATATATTGTAACTAATATAACAACCCAAAAAAGCAGAGTTGAAAACAAATGAGAAAAAAAGGTTGGAAGAAATATGGTTCAGTTTCTACTTGTTACTATTTCTTATGAAACCATTTCTGGCTTTCTTCATTCACCTAGCAAGAAACGTCAAATAAGGCTGCCTGAAGGATGGAAGTACCTTAAAAAGGTGCTTCACGTATTTTCCAAGTAATAATGAATAATTGATAATCTATTTGTATCTTTAATATCTAGGTCAAGTGGACACCGAAGACATTCTTTCTACGTGGAGTATAACAGTGAGTCACTCATATTCATTGCATATGCCAATTAGAGTCTCCTGAACTCACTTGAAAAGATTCTGTTGATTGTAAAGGACTAAAGCTCAAACATTTTCAGTTTTATTCACTGTTTCCATCCACATTCTTTCCAGGAATTACTAAGTTTGGTTAATAATTTTCTAAATTCAGAATTGGAAAGGTTGTGTAATTTCCATCCTTGGAGGTTTTCAAGACCTGACTAAATAAAAGTCAAGAAACCTGTTCTGATCTTCAGCTGACCCTGCTTTGTGCAGAACAGTGGACTCTTAACAGTTCTGCAGGTCCATTCCCACCTGAATTTTGAATCTATGAAACATAACACATCTAATTGTTCATCACTATTTTTCCTCTTCCTTTTGGCTAAAAACAAGTTCATGAAAGATTTATAAGGGACCTGGATGGAATCTTTGGTATAGTCCAGTTAGTCCAGTGCAGATGGAAGCTAATCAGAGCTTCCACATATTCAAATCTATCCCAGGGCTTAAATACTCATGAAGAAAATAGTAGGAATAAATAGCTTATCTCTAGCATGAAAGGAGGTTAAAATTCAAATGCTCTGCAATTCACTGTAGTTGTAACATAATGCTAATTAGCTATGCGACATAGAAAAAAATCAGTTGATAAGGAGTCTGAGAAATCTCAATAAGAGTGTGAAAATTAGGTGAATATATTGCCAGTACCAGATAAAATGACTAGAAGAGAATGATCTTAATTGCTCTAAAAGGAAGAAGCCACACTTGTGTTCCTTATATAGATTAAATAGTCATATAAAAGAAGACTGCAAAGCATTTTGTGATGCTATTTACTGTAAAGCTTGAAATCCAGAGCTATCTCCAAAAAAGTTCCACGTGTACTGCTATGAAGTAACAGCCAGGACATTGTCACTTTTCATTCCTTTTTGTCTCTATTGGACTTCAAATATTAATCTAGAAAGGACAGGCTTGTGGCTGATGA